GCTCACACTAACTCAGAGGGAACACTGCGGTTAACAAAAGGAAATCTTCTCACAAAGTCTTACCAAACACACGCTGGGTGCATCAAGGCCATTGCTGTCTTCCTTCCCACTCTCCCTGCTGCTTCCAGGTTTTGCATTTTACTTTCTGTAGGCATTGTTTCACCCGCTGAAGTTCCACATGGCTCGTACAACATCTGCTAGGCGCACCCACTTTGGCAAAGACATTCTGTGTCTCCCTGGAAAATAATGTTTGATCGCGTGATGTGCTACACGTTTTCAGAAGTGTGCCTCTCGGACAATCCCTCTCTTCCATTGCAGCTTCCGGCAGCTAAAGGTTTTGTTGCCAATAGCTTTTATTCCGGCTTGACGCCCACGGAGTTTTTCTTCCACACGATGGCTGGTCGCGAGGGTCTGGTCGACACAGCCGTGAAAACAGCCGAAACGGGATACATGCAGGTAACGGAGAATGCTTCCCTGTGGAAAAGGATAACTGGAATCGGTGACATGGACAAGATAACCTTTTTAATTAGCTCACAAACAGAGGTGCGATCTAAACATAGCAGTAAGTTATCCCGACATCAGCGGTAAGAGAGCTAGCACCAGGGGCCAGTTGGAATATTAGGAACTGCATTAGGTGGGAAGCCGCCGGAACTAATTGTGATTGTGATCTAGTAAACACAAGGATCCCCCCACCTGTTTGAGCCTGGGTGCATATTCGGAATTCTGAGACGACACAGTGGACACAGCAAAAAAAAAAAGGTTGCCGCAGGCAATGTTCCCTCTAAGCTGTGGAGTCTTGTGAGCAGAAATTCTGCTCTGCGCGCTGCTGGCATTAAAGTGGTGAGCGAGCGGTTTGGCTGCGTCATAAATGAGTTTGCTCTGGAGCCCTCCTTCCCAAGCTGAGACAAAGATGTAAGCTAGAAAGGAAGCGGGGAGTAGAAAAAATACAAAAGGTGTAAGGTCTCATCTGATGAAACCTTGAGTGAGACGGTCCATTGAGCGCTATACCCTCAGAAAGAAAAACCTGAGACCAATTTACTTCAAAGAAAACACCTCTATGATTTGTTATTCACCGGATAATTAAAGAAGATACATTTTTCTCTAACAAGGTTTCATTATCATAGGGGAGGCAACTGTGCACATCTAGGGATGCCAACTTCTAAGCAGCACCTGAAGATCTCCTGCTATTACAGTTGATCTCCAGATAGCCAAGATCAGTTCCCCTGGAGAAAATGGCTGCTTTGGAGGGTGGAGTCTATGGCATGGTACCCCGCTGAGGCCCCTCCCTTCCCCAAACCCCACCCTCCCCAGGCCCCACCCCCAAAATCTCCAGCTATTTCCCCAGCCCTCTGCTGGCATCCCTTCTCCTCCGCCATACTGGGCAGATTGGTCACCATCCAGGTTCTATAAGCTTTTATAAATGACATTATGGGATACGTCCTCTAAAGAGGTTCTCCCCCCCCCTTAGAGACGACTGGTGAAGTCACTTGAAGATCTGTGTTCCCAGTACGACTTGACTGTCAGGAGTTCCACTGGGGACATTATCCAGTTCATTTACGGCGGGGACGGTTTGGCTACTGCAGCCATGGAAGGGAAAGATGAACCTCTGGAGTTCAAGCGAGTCCTGGATAACATCAGGGTACGTACGAGGGTATCTGTTCAGATTTTTTGTCAAGTTATTATTTATTGAATTTATTAATTGCCCAGTCCCTGCTACTGCAGGGCTCTGGGTGATGTACACACACTAGATCGGGGGTGGCCAGACTAGCTTGATGTAAGAGCCACATAGAATAAACATCAGACGCTTGAAAGCCACAAGACATGGACAATCATTACACACACTGTTTATTGAAAAATATGCAAACTTGCAGTTGATGAACATTAAACGAGACTGCCATAAATAAAAACAGAAGGAGTAAAAGCAGAGATTGATAATGATATTTATTTGTTCAATGATATTTATTTGTTTGCTAATGATATTTAGTTGTCTAAGAGAGAGAGAAAGAGAGAGAGAGAGAGGTGGAAAGAAAGAATGAAAGGTGGAAAGAAAGAGAAATAGAAAGAGAGAAACAAGGAAAGCAAATCCTGGGGGGAATAGATGGAAGAGACAATGAGGGAGAGGTGGAAAGGAAGCAGCTTTAACATTAAATGCCTCCTCCAACCCCCTCACTCCCCTGCCGGCTGGCTTGGCTTGGAGAAGGGATTTAAAGAGAAAAGTGTCTTCTCCAAGCCAGCTGGCCGGGGTGTGTGTGTGCTTTGAGAACGCATCTAAAGTTAAAGTTGCTTTCTTTTCCCTCGGATGACTGTGACCCCGCCCCCAGCGTGCCCGGCATCGTCACTTCACTTCCTGGTGATGTGCACGTCGGGGCGGAGTTCCCCCCGGGGCCCGATCCCAGGGGGACTTGGCAAGCCTACTCCTGGGCTGTTGGGATAGATTGAAAGGTCTGGTGACAACCTACCAAGACTAGGGTGAGTTTTTAGACTCTCCCTGGTATTTTGTAACTTTGCTTTGCAACGCACTCCCCTTGACCCAAAGTGTTTTGCCCTGGATGGGACTGGCACTTTTGACAGCTTTATACTGTAAGATTTCAGACCATGGGGTACCGAACTTTGAACGCTCCGTATAGGATGTCAGGTATGTGTGAGCTGCAGCCGTTTCGAAGTCGTGCTGAATTGTCTCGAGGAACGCCGTGTTCTAAATGTATCCCTGGTTTCTCTGTCTCCCGCTTTGTCCCTGAAGGCCGTGCATCGCAGCCGGGGTGAACCAGCCCTTAGTAAAAATGAACTGGTGCTGACTGCTGAATCCATCATGAAGAAGAGTGAATTCCTGTGCGGCCAAGACAGCTTCCTACAGGTGAGGCCTCCTGTTCCTTTTCTGCCTGACTGCTAATCCCAAAACTCAGGGGTTCCCAACATGGCACCAGCCGGCACCTTTCCTGGCGCCCGCCAAGTGTTTTTAGGACGTGGAGGGGGGGAGGTAGGGCTTTGGCCCAGCAAGGCTTCTGATTGGCCACTGGAGATTTGATTGGCTGTACGGATTCTTTTAAATGTTGCTTTGTCAGCCGCTATCCCCACAGCCAAGGATTACTGCACTGCGTTGCTGAAGCTGAGCTGTGGCCACCATTTTGTGGCTGGCTCTGCCTCCTGAGGCAGCCATTTTGTGGCGGCCATTTTGTTGCCGCGCGCTCCATGCCGTGTCAGAATTCCCAGTGTGCCCACAGGCTCGAAAAGGTTGGCGTCCCCGTGCTTAAACTTCACTTTGTATAACTCAAGGCGGAGAAGAGGAGGATGCCGTAAACCGCTTTGGATCCCCACTGGGGATAAAGGGAGGGTGTCAGTGAAGCCAATAGAAAGCAGATTCCATAATTCAGATTGGCTACTAAGGCAAAGTTTCTTCGAGTTCTGCTGCATTCTGCACACCTGTTTCTTGCAGGTTTCTGGCGCTCTGCACGTTAGAGACCTGGATAAGTGGCAGTCTTTCAGAGCATGCAGGACCATGTCTTTTGTGTGTGTGTGACGGGTGCAAAGTCCCCAGGAGGCCGGCAGTAAAGGCAGCTGTAGTCTTTTAGTGCTGGATCCAGACTAAGTTGGCAAACTAAACTCCCACCACCACCCCCTTCCTGGTGCAGGCCCCCACCTTCCCATTCCTCAGGGTCTCTTGTTCCCCAGGAGCAACGTTTTCTGGAGCTCACCGGGACGGGGGAGACCGGAAAGTTCCATTTGGCCATTGGATAAATCTAATATGGACCCATCCCTTTGTTCCCTCTTAGTAAGCGGCCATTTCGAGACGGCAGGCCTGGTTTTGTTCTAAAAACATCCCCTGGAGGTCCTTTTGAATATGAAATGTGTCCTTTGAGACACACACCCCCTTTTACCACCCTGTTTTTTTCTCTTAAGGAGCTGCGGTGGCTCAAGGGGTTAAGACGCTGAACTGCAGGCTGTGGAAGGTCGGTAGTTCAGCAGTTCGAGACCCGAGTGTGCCGCATGACAGAGTGAGCTCCCGTCTCTAGTTCCAGCTCCTGCCAACCTAGCAGTTTGAAAGCAAGACATTGCAAGTAGATAAATAGGTACCGCTTCGGTGGGAAGGTAATAGCATTCCGTGCGCCTTGGTGTTTAGTCATGCCGGCCACAGGACCACGGAAACGTCTTCAGACAGCGCTGGCTCTTCGGCTTTGAAACGGAGATGAGCACCACAACCCTAGAGTTGGACTCGACTGGCTTTCGAGCAAGGGAACCTTTACCTTTTACCTTTTTTCTCTTATGTAAAGTACTGCCCGAGGTATGGCGCTGGTAATAATAAAGCTGCAGAATATGAGACCTGGCCTTAAAATATGTATCTGTCGTTTCAGGAAATAAAGAAATTCATTCAGAGTATGTCTGAGAAGATCAAGAAAACCAGAGACAAGTACGGCATCAATGACAACGGCACCACCGAGGTAAATCCTCTTTTCTGGCCGTCCGGCAGGAACGTTTTGCAGGCGGAAGCTGAGACTGCGTGTGTCTGTTCATAGCACATTTTTTGCCTTCTCACTTAAGGATCACTCCCAGAGGCTCCCCCTTCCCGTTTGACATTTTTGACGGCTCTTCTACTCCTGCTGTACATTTGTTTTTATTCCGCAGTAGCCTGTCTTCTCCGGCCTGGGAAGCTGGTGGGTCTAGAATCGGACCAAACAGTTGGGTTTGTGGGCTTATGCTTAAATGAGAGCCAGTTTGGTGTCGTGGTTAAGTGCGCAGACTCTAATCTGGGAGAAGCGGGTTCGATTCCCCACTCCTCCTCCACTTGCACCTGCTGGGTGACCTTGGGCAAGCCGCAGTTCTGATAAGAGCTGTCCTTGAAAAAGAGCTGTTTTGGTCAGAGCTCTCTCAGCCCCGCCTACCTCACAGGATGTCTGTTGTGGGGAGGGGAAGGGAAAGGAGTTTGTGAGCCGCTCTGAGACACCTTTGGGTAGTGAAGGGCGGGGTATAAATCCAATCTCCTCTTCTTCTTCTTAGTGGTTAAGTGCGCGGACTCTAATCTGGGAGAACCGGGTTTGATTCCCCACTCCTCCACTTGCACCTGGCTGGATGACCTTGGGCAAGCCGTAGTTCTGACAAGAGCTGCCCTTGAAAAAGAGCAGTTTCGGTCAGAGCTCTCTCAGCCCCACCTACCTCACAGGGTGTCTGTTGTGGGGAGGGGAAGGGAGTTTGTAAGCTGCTCTGAGACTCCCTTGGGTAGTGAAGGGCGGGGTATCAATCTAATCTCCTTTTCTCTTCTTAGTGGTTAAGTGCGCAGACTCTAATCTGGGAGAACTGGGTTCGATTCCCCACTCCTCCTCCACTTGCACCTGGCTGGATAACCTTGGGCAAGCCATAGTTCTGATAAGAGCTGTCCTTGAAAAAGAGCAGTTTCGGTCAGAGCTCTCTCAGCCCCACCTACCTCACAGGGTGTCTGTTGTGGGGAGGGGAAGGGAAAAGGAGTTTGTAAGCCGCTCTGAGACTCCAAGTGAAGGGCGGGGTATAAATCCAATCTCCTCCTCCTCCTCCTCTTCTATGGATTTGGCGGTTCTTACTGTACGACAGTTGGAACACAATCAGGGTCAACCATTTTAACTCTTGTCAGGTTCCAGAGGAGATGGAAGGAATGGAGAGCATTGTTCAAGTGTTTATGCACATATGCCCAAGGCATTCACCTCTGCCATTGAGAAGGTTAACTTTATTGGAGTAAAGGGCGGCGGG